AAAACTACACATTTTTATCTAATTCTGTCAATGAAATGAAACCAATAAAGACTATCACAAAAAGTATGCTCTTCTTAGAAGCTTAGCTACACTTTAAAGCCTTAAATCTATTTAAGAATTAAGATCCCCCCTCACCCTAAAGCACCTAACACCACAGTCTTCCTGATTTTACACACGCTATTCCCTTTGCTTATAACTTTTTCCACATCCAGTTCATTCTCTTCAGGAAGTTTTTTCTGATGACAGGGTGAGGCAGATGCCCCTCTTCTGTGCTTCTAAAACAGCCTGTACCTACCACTACAGGGTGACAAATAATGTAGCATCCAGTGCGGGATGCTGTATCTATCACCACACTCATGGCAGGGGATTATAATTCTGTGGCTTCCCTGCTTTGCTGTAAGCTCCTTGAGATCAGTGTCTTAGTCATCCCTGTATCCCTGAACCTCTTTAACAGTTGGCTGATATTTGGTTTATATTTGATCAGTTTTTTGAATAAATAAATGTTAGAGTAGATAAGTCTTATTTTGCTTATCTTTTTTTTTGCATTATTTCAATCATGGTAACTTTTATACAAAGGGTGGGGGGAAAAGTAGGTTTATAATTCTATGTGAAACATGGAGTTTATTCTTGTATTATTTATTTATACTATCTTTTTAAAAATATTTTATTATTTTTAGAGAGAGGAAGTGAGGGAGAGAGGGAAAGATCAATGTGTGGTTGCCTCTCAGTTGCTCCTCCTACTGGGGGACCTGGTCCACAACCCAGGCATGTACCCTGACCGAGAATCGAACCACTAGCCCTTTCATTCACAGGCTGGCACTCAATCCACTGAGCCACACCAGCCAGGGCTTTTTTTTTAAATTTGAGAGAGACAAACATTGATTTGTTGTTCCACTTACTTATGCATTCATTGGTTGGTTGTGTCTTTTGCATGCCCTGACCAGAGATCAAACCTATGACTGTGGCATATTGGGATGGCGTTCTAAGCAACTGATCTACCTGGCTAGGGCTTGTATTATTACTTATTAATTATTGTATTATTTTTCCATACAAACAACTGCAAAGCTATTTTTGCCATACCCTGCAGTGGCCAAAAATTTACAAAGCAATTTCCCATACAGTATACAACTGATTCTCATAACCACCCTGAGGTAGGTAGTTTTATTAACTCGCTTTAAATTTATTTTTTATTTTTTAAGGTTTTATTTATTTATTTTTAGAGAGGGGAAGGGAGGAAAAAAGAGAGGGAGAGAAACATCAATGTGTGGTTGCCTCTCACTAGACTCTCATTGGGGACCTGGCCCACAACCCAGGCATGTGCCCTGACTGGGACTTGAACCAGTGACCCTTTAGTTCACAGCCTGCGCTCAATCCACTGAGCTATACTAGCCAGGGCTTAACCTAATTTTTAAATGAGGAAACAGGTCTAGTAGGTGATATCAAATGCTCATATTGTAATTAGAAGATGAGACTCAAACTCTCTTTTCATTCAGACCCCTAAGCTTATTTTTATAAACTAGATAACACTCTAGCAATGACAATGAACTCAAGTGTCCCTTTGGAATGAACTTTCTAGGCCTCCCAGAGTCACTCCATTTTCATACTGCCCCATATGGCAAGCAGAGTGCCTGCCCCTTCCCCACCTCCTCTTCCATCTGCTGACTCCCACTGCCCATGAGGGCAAGCCCTTCCCTAGTATTAAAATTTAATGGAGGATAGAGCTCTTCAGTGTCCTCTAAAAAGGATTATGTACATCTCAGAAAACGAACAGAAAATCTGGTTGGCGATTTAATTCTTAAATTTTTCAATTTTATTTTGAAAATCATTTTAAACTCAAAGCAAAGAAGTGTAAAAAACATCCATGTCCCCAACATCCTCAAATAAGCAAGGCTGGACTAAACGTCTATGTACTATTGTGGGGCTTTATTTTCAGAACACCAACTATTTCACAGCTCATCCTTCTGGAATACTCCAGGCTAAGTAATAAGTGATTCTGTATTTTCACTAAGATCACTTGTAGTTACTACACAGCCACAATATGTAGTTACAAAACTATCTTAAATATGTACTGTCTCCTTCCACAGCACATCTGAAAACCACAGTAATTAATCCCTCTCATTTCCTCTCCTTGGTGTTTGGCCTGCTACCTCTGGATAGAGGAATCCCCCCTCCCATTTCAGCACAGTGGTCTTCATGGCAAGTATACACACTTCTTCCCAACTATAAATTAGGATACTCTCTACCATTTGAGGGTTTTATTTGGTTTCAATGAGTTTGGCTAGTATAAATCAAACCACGAAAGGCTGGACATCAACATTAAAACAGTACAAGAAGTAGCACTAGCCCACCAAGGTACAGTACTTCATTAGGACAGACCTAAAATAGCAGCCCTGTTATATTTAATCTCTCACGCCTGTCACTTAATCCCACAATTCCAAATCAGTCCAATGTAAAACATTTCCCTTTCCTCTACCTGGTCAATGCTCACCAACCTGAGTGGTGAACAGAGAAACTGTGTCCATGAATCATCTCACAGGCCATCCCCAGGCAGAGTGAGGCATACACAACAGCACACCTAACAATCAAATCTTGCCTTCTCTCATTTTACACAAGGAACTGATTACTACCAGTGATTATCTCTGGGGAGTGGGAGTCAGAGCCGCTTTCATTTTTATATTTTATGTAGGTTGAATTCTTACAAAGAGCATGGATTTTATAATAAAGTATTTCCACTTTGAGAAAAAAGGGGCATGAATAATTTTTAATTTGGTTCACTTAAGAATGTAAGAATTGCCCTGACTGGCATGGTTAAATGGATTGAGCTCTGCCTGAGCACAGAAAGGTCACTCACTGGTTTGACTCCCAGTCAAGGCACATGCCTGGGTTGCAGGCCCACCAGGTCCCCAGTTGGGGGAGTGCGAGAGGCAACCAGTCGATATTTCTCTAACATCCATGTTTTTCTCCATCCCCTCTCTAAAAAATAAATAAAATCTTTAAAAAAAGACTATAACAATAAATAACAAAGTAATTTCAATATTTTATGGTAAGAGATATTAGCACAAGAGGAAAATATCAGGAGAAAACATCCTATGGAGACCAAAGTGACCTCTCAAGCAATTGTTTTTCAAGTATACCTTAATTTGGGGGAAAGGCAACATATTGTAGCTTAAAAACAAAAATCTATGGAAAATTTTATGTATTTTATCCCAAATGGTTTCCTTCCCTTTTGGACAGAAGGTTAATAGCAAAAGCTTAGCACTTTTTCCTGGATGCAAGAGAGGCCTGAAGGCAGGCACTTCTTTTCTCCTGCACATTAGAATGGGAAATGGTGCTAAAGTATAAAAATTTAGGTGCTAAAGCAAAATCAAAACACAAGGTCAAGAGCAAGGGGCTGAGACTGTGTTCATGCTCTGCTAAGGTCCTGGTTAAACATGGTTTCTTTTCTCTTACAAGCTCCCCCCACCTCCATCCCAAAAGAGGCTACTGTATTGGAATGGGAAGAATAGAAAGGCTTCAAGAAAGACGGCTTAACCTATTTTTTATAAGATGAAAATTTGGTCATAATAGAGAAAATGTATTTGAAGACTCTACTGCAGATTGCCTTTATTAATCTTTGGGAAAGCACTTCACCTCGCTATGTTTCAATTTTCTATTTGACATGATGAAGCCACCATCTAGCTCCCAAAGCTATTTCAGTTATTTAGACTTCATCAGCTCTCCAGCAAGTGATTCAAAAGGAAAGTTTTGAGGTTCTGATGACCAGTCCTCAACTCGTTTCACCTTTTTTTGTATCCCAATTCTCATCATATCCATTTGCACTGATAAAGTTTCAAAGATCTAATTTCACTGTTTCAAAGGAGAAGGCAATGACTGCTCTGAAATTATCATAAGAACTGCATCCTTCACCAACTCTGTTCCAGAATGGCTTGAACATCAGCTCAAGAAACTGATTCTAAGTCTCCTCAAAAAAAACTGGGACCTCCTTGGGTTCGAGGTCAAAGGGAAAATTCTTCCTTAAATAATTTTCCTGCCGTGATACTGTATGGAAATACTCTTAGGCCAGTGGAGAATCTGCGCGTGCTAACCACGCTGATTTAGAAGTAGTATTACACACATACCAATGCCCTACTGTCTCCAGGAAACATCAAGGACTTTCACCAACATCTCCCTGACGCTCCTAATCTGGAAAGTGTCATGTCAGCCTTTCAAATCTTGTAGACGCGTTGGTTAGACAGAACGGGGGAGCGGGAAGGAGACTGAGCTCAGACCCAAGCCTACATATTTTAGCGGTAACGACTCCCGATCTACATCCAGCACTTTTATCGAACAGAACTTCTAGGAAGCGCCCACCACTGGAAGCGAAAACACTTTTTCCCAGGAAAGCTATCTTTCCCACAGAAAATTCCCAAACCCGAAACCTACCACTTTCTACTGAACAAAAAGCTTGTATGCCGGCAAGAGGGGGTGGGAAAGAGCGTGGCAAGAATTTGCACGGCTCTTACGCCTCCTCCCTCGGAGCGCGCCCAAGTCTGCGGCCTCGGGCTCCGGGACACTTCCCCCCTCCCACCCGCCCAGGAGCCGCAGCTGTAAGTTGAGAGAAGCGGGCTCTGGGTACGTCAATCAACCGGGTCCTCCCGCCTTCCGTCTACACCTCCCCTCCCAGCCCCCCTCTTCCAAAAAAATAATAATAATAATAATAATAAAGGTAGAGAAAGAAAAGGAAAAGAAGGTAAATGATGTGGGAACTACTCTCCGTGGGGGCTTCTCCTCCAACCCAGAGAGGCCGCACGTCGCGGACCGGACGCGCCGGCGGGCGGCGGGATCCAGCAGGCGGCCCGGCAGCCGCCAGTCGCCGGGTCCTGGCAGCGTGTCCGCTGCGCTCTGGCTCCCCGCGCGGGTCCGCGCCGTTCCCACCCCGCACTCCGCCAGGCCCCGCGGCCCGCCGCCCTCAGTCGCGGGCCAAAGTTGCGCAAATAGTCCCACAACTGGCAAATACTCACCGGCCGCAGCGGGAACCGAGGTTGCGGAGATTTTAGGGAGTTTAAGGCAAATCGGCCACGGGAAAGGCGGGCGGAGGCGAAGGGGCTGCAGTGGCGGCGAAGCGCGGCACTCAGGCTGGGCTGCGCGGAGAGGTTCTGGCTCTGCCAGGGACTGTGCTGCAACAAAGGACTTCCGCTGCCGCACAGCCGCGCCTGCCGCACCGCACTGAGCCGGCCCCGCTTACGCGGCGACTCCGGGTCTGCCCACCAGTTCGCTGCGGCGTCCGCCAGCCTTCCCCTCCCTCTCGCCCGCCCACCCACTCCGCCGCCGGCTGCTAGGGGCACCCGCGGTCGCCTGTTTGTTACAAGTTTCTGCGTCGGGCTCTGAGGAGACTGGCTCAACCCGCACCGCGGGGGCCCGGCACGGCTGCGGCTTGACCACCCCTCTTGCCCCTCTCCCGAGGGTAGGGTTGGGACCTCCTCTTCTCGTTTGCACAGCTGGATGGGGCTGGGCTCCTTCCGACTCCCCAAGGGCTAGATACTGCTTTCCCACACTGTCCAGATGTCAGACCCCTGCCCGGGAGGACCCAGCAGCTGGGCCCTCCTTCACAGTACGCCCTAGGCGTTCTGGGGCACCGGCAAACTCGTCCAACCCTGGACGTGGCCAATGACTTCAGGGTCGCCCATTCCTCACGCTCCCCCAACCCTGCCTTCCATGGGCCCGTCGGCTTCTGGCCTTAGTCACTTCCCCCGCCATGCCCCACCCCGCTAGGCTCCCGGGGCTTAGTTTCCCTGGCCTCGCGCCCTCATCACTCTGCCTTTGAACACGCGAGCGCATCCTTTCCCACCCCCACTCCCGAACTGAAGGGGTGCCCATGCTTTTGCACATTTGGGGAAAGTCCCCAGTCACGCGGTTGTGTGTGGGGAGCAAGTAACGCCCAGGCTCATCTCCACGCTTCCGCCTACAGAGTCACAACTGGGGACTGTGGCGGAGGCGGCCGAGCGCTAGCCAACCCATCCTGGCCACTTGAGAGAGTGGGCGGGCTCGCACGTAAGCACGCTCGCACACTCTGCCCCTGCGCCCCTCTTTCCCCGCTACCGGGTGCGCGGTCACGTGGGCTCACCACGGGGCGGCCGGCGCGGGAAGCCGCGCGAGAATGGACCGCGGGGTGCGTGAGCTGGCGCCGCCGCGTGACGCTTGTGGCGCGGGAGCCGCCCCTCCCGCATGGAGGAGCCGACTGGCCGCCGCAGCGGCGTCTGGGTAAGCGACGCAGCCCGGCCCCAGAGGGCTGCTCCAGGCTCAGTCCCTCCCGCCGGGAGCCGCCTGGGGTGGCGGCGGCCTGCAGCTGCGCCGGTCGTGGAACAGATGCAAGTAGCATGGGAGAGGGGTATTTTTGGTCTGTTTGACATGTCAATTAGGGCAAAGAGGAAAATGGCAACCCCGAGTGAGCTCTGGGCCGAGGATGCCCGTAGCCGCCCTTACCTGTACGCACAAGGCAGTGTTGGGGCCTAAAGCAGGCTGGGACCACCGCGCGCGAGGACGCTTGCTGCCGGCCGGGCTGCGACTGTGCGCGGGCAGCCCCGACTAGCGTGCGGCGTTCCGCAGACTGCCGAGCTGATCCTTTAGCGGGTGGGTGGGTTTCCAGGTGTAGCCCACAGAGGCCCATGTCTTCCCTCTTTCTTCCCACCATCATTTGTGATTACCTTGTTTTTAGAGTAGGAAGTACCCTTCTGGTCCCGTAATTCATTTCTCTTTTTTCAGCTTATATGAATCTTATTCTAAGCATATCCAGTTTTCTCTTTTTGTAATTTTACTTTACTTTAGAAAGAGGGTGAGAGAAAAACATCAATTTTGTTGTCATTTACTTATGCATTCATTGGTTGCTTCTTGCAGTGCCCTGACTCAGGATGGAACCTGAAACCTCCAGAAGATACCAACCAACCAACTGAGATACCCAGCCAGGGCCAGTTTTTCTTTTTAAAGCTTGCCCCATCTATCACTTCACTTCTGTAGCTAGGACTCATGTGGAGAAAAGCTGTTCTCGAGCTGCATAGGCAGCCCCTGAACTTGACAGCAGCTAACATGTTTCATAAAGTAATGCCTGGTTTCCCCCAGGGGATTAAATTTGACATTCATTCTCTTGACAATCAAGTCTTTTTGGTAAAACTGCACACGATTTTGTCAAGGGTGTAAAGTACACTTTGTAGTCACAGACTTTAAAGCTGAAAGGGCCCCTACAGGAAAGCTAGTTCATCCCTCTTATTTTGCAGATGAGGACACCGGACCTAAAGAGGAAGTGTATAGCTCGATTGAGTCCTGCACCTCGATTAATTGCACTCATCAGTTCTGGACGCCTTGGTCGTTGTGCTCTCTACCACATCAGGAGTGCAGCAGTGCCAGTTTAACCCATGCACTGTAGAGGCTTTCTGCCAGAGGTGATTGTACTTGCCTTGATCCAGATTATTGAGAAATCAGGCTTGGCCAGTGTGTGATGGCTTTGGTATTTTAAGAAATGGGGTTGGCACTATTTCTAGGTGAAATAGAATGGCTGTGATGTACTTTGGAGCTCAAAGCTACCCTCCCCACCCCAGCCCCCTTTAGCCCTCTTCTCTGCAAGAATAACCAACGTTTGCAGCATTGTTTCCTGAAAGTTAACTCATAAAAGTCCTCTTTTGTAATGTGGACACGTTTTAATTAAGAGTAAACTCTTAATCCATTATCAGACATCAGCTCTTTGATAGGGAACAAAACGATGATGGGATAGGACATGGAGTAGATTAGTACTGATGGTTAGGAGGTTATCAGGAAGCAGTGAATAGTCACCTGAATGGTCAGCCAGGAAGTAGGGAGGGACTTCACATGACTTGCTACACCGTTTTTGCCCAGCCCTACCCTGAATATCTCACCAATATTTGGAGATAATGGAGAGATGGACTCAGCTCAGATTTGGTTGCTGTTTTTTTAAGTACCTGCAGTGGCTAGCTGTTTTCATAGATGAATTTCAAATATTTACCAAAAGGAGGTAGTATTGTCTCCATATTACAAACAGTTGAGGAAATAGGCTCAGAGATTTACGTGGCTTCAGTGTTGCAGCCATTTGCTGTGAAATTCAAGCCTAGATCAGAGATTTACGTGGCTTCAGTGTTGCAGCCATTTGCTGTAAAATTCAAGCCTAGATCACTTATTTCCCAAGGCTAGTCTGGGCTCTTTTGCACTGTATCTTACTACCACTTCAAGCTGGGAAGGGAGATGAGAGAAATTGCCTGTGGCTGATTTATTGGCGCCTGTGGTTGCCCAGAGAGGTTGAGCAGGACTTTCAGCTGCCCTCTGTGCCTTAGAAAGTGGAGCTGTGAGCTTCCACCCTATCTCCTGAGGGGAATATGAAGGAGCCAGGCTGTCTAGCTGGGGAGGAGGGGCCTAAGTGTCTTGGCGGTAAAATATCCTGGTGAGTGCTGTGCTGGGAAGTGTTGCATAATGCCCTCCCCACCGCTAAACCAAAGTGATTTATGTGTGGTGTGTAGGTGCTGCTTGACCATCTTGTTAAAGAAAAACTTGTCCATCTTAGTAATAACAGGGCCAGAAAAGAGTTGGGGGTTTTATATTATTGCAGGGTTTTTTTTTCTGGTCTTAAAAAAGCAGTGCAGGTGCTCTTATCTTGATAAATTACAAAGTACTTCTTCACCACTTCCTGTGCTCCCTTTCTGCATATTTATTCCAAAGTGCATGTGAACTTCAATCTTTTGATAAAAGAATGCTGAGAAAAATACCACTTCAGTTTGTAGTTACAAGCACAGGCTACAGAGTCAGACCTAATGTTTGATCCCCCACTTAATACCGTTTGCTGGTTGTGTGTCCTGAGCCTAGGTTTCTCCTCATCTGTAAAATGGAAAGGAAAGAACACATAGTCATGGTGAGGGTTAAAAGAGATAATGTGCATAGAGCACTTAGCACAGGGTTTTGCACATAGTATTTACTCATTAGTAGCTATTGATAACAATTCTCTCAAGTATAGAGAAGCCATTATTGGTACTTGAATTTGCTTAGCAAGAGTGGAGGAAGAGGAAATAAAGTGTTTAAATCAAACATCAATTTCAGGATCATTGATTGAATTTAGTAATACTTCCGTTTACCCTGTGCTAGCAGGAATTTTTTTAATCTTTAGAAAAAATGTTTGTGGTGTTAGTTATTTTTGGTATTTTTCTAATTCATTTCTTCCCTGGTTACAAATCAGTGTACAGTGACTTGTTCTTTCTGAAAAACTCTAGGCAACATTAAGCAAAGGGTTTCATTAGTCCATGTGGATGACATGTTAGTGGAACATTCTGTGGCAGAGGAAGTATGGTTTACTTATATGCAGAAGTTATAATCATTCTTGCTTGTCCTGTATTCTAGGTCTGTACTAGCACTGCCATTTTCCAGCTTTCTCCTGTCCTTTTAATACCTTATTTTTTCTTTCAGAAATGAAGTCTTTTTTAAAAAAAATATTATTTTTAGTAGAATCTTTCCTTCACAGGTTCTGATTTTTTTAAGGTGCAGTAGCAATTTGCACTGAGTGGTGTTAGTGTTTTTTGTTTGCCTGTGGCTTTATCAGACGTCCCACATGTTGGTTAGGTGGGGGTAAGAGATGCAGGGTAGGCCGGCTGTCTGCCAGCAGGCAGGAGGCCCCAAGCTAACGTTTCCCTGTTCCGTTAAAGGTTTCTAGAGCATAACTGCTCTTCCTGTATCGTTTACCACGTCTGCTCCTTACCCTCTTCAGTAATATTCTCAGTGATTTTTTTATAAGCAAGTGCCCAGAATTACTGCAGATTTTGCCTTGACCAGTATTTTCAGATTTGGAATTTACACATCATTTTTGGATATTATGAAAATAGGTGTAATGGTAAGAAGAGAGTAAATATCTCTTTTTCATAAATACTTTTTAAAAAGAACTCTGAAAACAGTGTGTTCCTCTTCTATTCCCAGTGCCCATCCTACTAGTTTGGGAGCACTTTTGTTTCTTAATCTGGCTAATTTTTTAGTTTAAAGTTATAATTAGCATTATAATTGTTGATGTTAGCTTACTTCCTGCCATTGGTATAATTCCCACATTTTGAGCACTTGTGAAATTATCCTTTTTCTCTATACTTGTAGAGTGTGAAAGTATTTTCTAGAGTTTTTTTCCCCTTCTTATAATGATGCAGTGGCTCTTAACTGAGGTATCTTACTAGAATCACCTGCAGAGCTTTTTCAGAAAGGATCTGTGTCTTGCCCCAGCAGTTGCGTTTGGGTCCAACTAACTCTACGTGGAAAATGTTATCATACAGTTAGCTAAGTAGGAGCTGCTATTCCAGGATAAAATCTTAATCTGCAAACAATCTTTATCTAGGTTACACCCTCACAATCATGTGAATGTACCATTAAGTTAAAATCATAGTATAAAATCTTTTATCTTGTGGCAGGTTGAATAATCGGCTTTTACCTTTGTATTTATAGCCCTGAGTGAATATCTCAAAAAAAGCTGTACACATTCCTTTGCCAACTTTCTTGTCTCCTTGTCCTAATAATTAATAATAAAGTCACAGTGGTAGGAACCACAGAGAAAATATCTAAAGCTATTTGTTTTTCACAGAAACAGATGTCTTACTCCTTTTGATCTTTTCTTTATTAAAGATTCTTACAGCCTGAGAGAATGAAAAGCTATTTATTCCAGGACATCATTCTGGCTACTATGGGTCTGAGAGTCCAGTCTAACTAATACAATAGATTAAAAAAAAAAAAAACAAAGATGTTGAATATCAAGCTAACTTTGAATTAAACAAACATAGATACTAGTATAAAGCTGTTCTAGTCTACTTATTTTGAGCTAATCCAGAATTACTGCAATCTAGTCAATAAAAAAGGTTTTTGTAGTGTCAAATATCAGTGCTAACTCTATTGTAATATAAATACCACTTGGATAACAGATAAAGCATGTTAAGATTTAGTACTCTTACATTTTTGGCTCCAGAATTTGTAATTATAATAAAATGATGAATTATTTTTTCTGCAACCTCTCTCACATCTTAAAATTTACACCAAAATTCTCAAATGTAACTTCTAACATCTTTCTGTATGTATCCATAAGAAACTGGTTGTTCCACGTACTAGAGAAAATAAAATTGATGAGCAAAGAAATGATGAGCAAAAGCTACACAAACAACCCAACTAATAATGTGTAAAGTAGGTTGTGTTAGAAAATGTTCTCAGTAGCTCTGATGGATTGGTTCTATTGACCTGAGGTAAAATCTGGTTGTGTTACTTTTAAACATCAAAGGCCTATTATTATGAAAATAAGTTTGAATGAACCTGTTGCATATATAAGTTGCTTTTATTTTAAGAAAATAATCTGAATTTGTTTCATTTCAGAAATTTGGAAAATTTATCCCCTTATTTCATTTAATATATTGGTAAAATCTGCCATCAATGTATGCTGAGAGTTCTAAATGGGGATTTTGAAGAAATGGCATTGAGTTTATAGTCAGACTTGAAGTACTACCAATGGCATCTAATAGCTAGTTGGCTGACTTTGAGTACCTTTCCTGCCTTCTCTGAGCCCACGTTTCCTCTACCATTAAATGGGACTACTTTAGTACCTGCTTTGTTAGTGCATAGCGTCAAAAAAATGTAGGGTGGATTTTCTCAAGGTGTGGTCCAAAGACCACTTTTGAGACCCTTCTGTGTGTCTACAAAGATCTCTCTTTTGCAAGGCCACATTCTCAATATACATTAACCAAAACACGTGGCAACAGATTGAATGCAGAAGCTTGGGGGGGAAACCCAGCTGTATTTTTTAAAGCCAGGTGTTAAGAGGATTTCAAAATGTAAAACAATGCTACCCTTAACACTTTAAAAAAAAATGCATGTTGTGCCCTGGCTGGATAGGTAGTTCAGCTGGTTAGAGCATCATCCTGAAATACCAACATCGTGGGTTTGAGCCCCAGTGGGGGCACATACAAGAATTGAATAATGAATGAATAAATAAGTGAAACAACAAATTGATCTCTCTTTACTCTTCTTTTTTCTAAGATGTAAACGATTTTTTAATTAAAAAATACATATTTAGAAAAATACATTAATATGTAATGGGTTTATTGTTTTAAATAAATTTAAAAAATTTTCTCACTTAATTTCTCACATGGTAACTGTTGACAGACGTAACCCACATAAACAGCAGCTGTTCCCAGTCAGTGATATTTTGATAGTGTAAATGGATTTTGAGACCAGAACTTTTCAGAACTGCTGGTAAAAAGTAATGACTGAATAGTTCCTAGTAAGATAAGATTTATAAAATAAAAATTTATAGTTTTATTGAGATAAAAACTATAAACTTGGAAAAAAAAGGTTTCAAAAACTCCCAGATGCCATTCACGAGTGACAACGTGCCGGCCGAAACTCCGATGCAGTCTGTGGGTGGGAG